CCCGCCCGGCCCGCACGCGGCCGCCCCCTGCCGGCGGGCGGGGGCGGTGCCGGGGGAGGCGGCACCGCCGCCGCGGCCGCAGAGAGGCGGCGACCGCTCCCGCCGGCGGATCGGGATCGCAGAGCCCGCGCCCGCTCCCGCCGCAGCCCCGCCGCTCCCGCCCGGCCAGATGATGAACTTTCTGCGGCGCAGGCTCTCGGACAGCAGCTTCATCGCCAACCTGCCCAATGGCTACATGACCGATCTGCAGCGGCCGGAGCCGCAGCAGCCGCCGCCGCCGCCTCCCGCGGGCTCCTCGGCCCCCGGCTCAGCCTCCCCGGCCGCGGAGCGCCGGCAGCCGCCGCAGCCCGCGCCCCCCCAGCAGCAGCCGCCGCCGCCGCAGCAGTCGGCGGGCAGCAGCTTCTTCAGCTCCCTCTCCAACGCCGTGAAGCAGACGGCGGCCTCGGCCGGGCTGGTGGACGCGACCTCCGCTGTCTCCGCGGCTGTCGGCAGAAAGTTCAAGCTGCTCCTGGTCATCGACGAGCCGCACACGGACTGGTAGGTGCCCCCGCATGCCCCTCCGCGCCCTCCTCCTCCCCCTCCCCCGTCCTTCCCCCATCCTCACTGCGGTCCCTTCCCCGCGGATCCTTTCCCTGCCAGGTGTGGGCTCACCTGGGGCCCCGGGGAATGAAGCTGCGGGTGCGGGGGGCCGGGACGCCAGGCAGAGCCTCCCTCCCGCCGGGCAGAGCCCCCCGCTGCCTGGCCTCGCTGAGGGGCTGGAGCGCAGACCGAACTGGAAGATGGAGCACAAACCAGCGAGCCCCGGAGCGCCTGACTAGCCGTGAAATCTGTTTTGCATCACAGCACTGAATAAAACGTATTTACCGCCCCGACAAAGCATATCCTGTGTTCTCTGGAGAAATAAAGCACCCGTGTGTAGTGGCAGGTAGGATTTAGGTGTCCTGGGCACGAATTTCTGTGTGAAACTGCGTGTGGTTGTAGTGTTACGTGTGTTAATTCATGTTTACGAGCAGGTTTGTTGTCACGCAGATCCCGCTGCTTCTGTGGCAGCGTCTCAAATGCGCGTTCGGGTGAAGGTCCTTCAGGGTACTGAGGACCAACCCTCGGTTCTACCGTAGCCCTTTGAATTCGTGTGGTTAGGTTAATCAACTTGGCAGGTTTTATTTGGGCTGAGTGTTTTGCTTCCACTATCAGCATTAAAAATGTGGCATTTACAAAACCTGAAACTTGTACAGCTCGTTTCTCCTGTGCCTGGCTGGTACCAGCAGGAGAGGTTATGGCTGTTTCAGACCTGTTTATCAGGAACGGCTCCAGTGGATGCTGTGGTTTATAGGAAGGACATATTCTTATTAATCCTTCTCTCACTTGTTTCTGTGTGTATTCGCACATCAAGCTGTGAATCGTCTCATTCGCTCTTGCTAATTACAGTATAGAAGGTCTTAACAGTGCCTTAAAATATTACAGAGTAAAACAAGTATGTTTTTATAAAACTGACATCATTCAGTAAGGGATTGTGGGTTTTTTTGTGGGAATATTTTACTGTCATCTTCTCAAATTTACAGTCTTACTGTCTAAATGGACTTGTGCAGTTCTATGATTTGATCCAATTTACCCAATTTGCTTTAAAATGCTATTTTAATAAAATACCTGAAACAAAAATGTAAGCCTTTATTTGTAGCAAATATGTTATTAATGTTAAGATTATATTACCTGTTACAATTTTCAGGTTTTTTCTTCTGTGTTTGGTTTTGTGGTTAGCTGTGTGTGTTGTCTTTTTTGAAAAAAAAAAAAAAGATTGTTGTATCTGCCAGACTAAGGCAGGCTCTGTACCTACGTCATGGAGATGCATCCATGGACACTGCTCACTGCCTTGCAGAAACATCTATTTATTTCATATTCTACAGTGCACAGATTTCTGCTTGGGAAATTCAATAAGTTTATATGTTCATAATGTTTGTTTCTGAGAGATTTTTTCAGTGCTTACAGAAGCCATCCCCTGTATTGTGAACATGGCATTTTTTATGTACTTTGTAAATGCACCCCAAATCAACACAATCTGTTGATAGTGGCAGAGCTTTTAAAGCTCTGCATAGTGAGTGCCACCGAGAGCACTCCAGCAGTGACAAATGTGCACAAGGTTACTCATGCCTACTTGCTTTTGCTTTTTTTTTTTTAATTTTGTTTTTTCCCCTCATAGTATGTGACATGGATACATAGTAGTTCTAGAAAGAAGAATTTGTTGTACTGGCTCTTTCCTCTCCAAGAAACTAGTGATTTTGTAACTGAAGATTATAAAATAAATTTTGAAAAATGTATATATGATCCTTGTGGGTCCCTTCCAACTCCGGATATTTGTGTATTCTCATAATACATGCTGGAGAGTTTGTTCCATACCTTTGGGAGTATGGATGTCCATATGGATATGCATTGATCTGCTGTAGTATTTGACTCTAAGGGCTAAAATGGAATATGTATTATAATTTGGGGAGGGGGAAAAGGAAGATTGGAACTGGCAGCGGGTGAGTGTCAGTGTCTGGTGGCTCCAGCTCCCTGCACTGCCGTGCAGTTTAGCAAGAGGAGGTTCGTAGAGCTGCTGTCATGTGATGCACTGAGCAAACCCTGTCAATAACAAGAAAAACAGCACCAAATCATCTCTGAGAGCCTCCTAAGGAACCATTCCAGCTGATTTACGTTAATCCTGAGAGGAAGATCGTATGCTGGACGTTTGTTTTTGTGATGCTTTGAGCTGCATTATGTTTGTCTTAAATTGAAAGTGTATGTTTTGCTTTTGGATTGCAGTTTCAATAGAAATCAAAGGATTTTGGTCTGGATCACACTGAAATCCTGCTGATTCAGTATCCTCTTTTCATCCAGGGCCAGAGGAAGCATAAGCACCTTCATCTGTCAGCAAAGGATATTCTCTCTTACTCTGGCATCAAAGGGACATTTTATTTCTAATATATTTTATTTCTATGAAATATTGACTCATACTTGAAGCCTGAAATTTAGTAACCCAACGTTGTTATTGTGACTAATGGAATCTTACGGGATATTCTACGTAGAAATAAATGCTCAGTTGTCGCTTGCATTTTATAATCTTGATCTCAATGACATCTTTCCTCAGTTTCTTGCCCTAAGAGGTTTGTCCTAATGCAAATCTTGAAAATTACTTTACTTTTATGGGATAGAACAGGGTAAAAATTGGGAGAATTGGCTTATCTCTAGTAGTTTGTATATTTTTGCCATGTTACCTGACTTCTTAAGGGAAGAGAAAATACAGTTGTGTCAAACTATCCTCCTTTCTCAATCCAATACATGTTAGAGCTGTGAAAGATAATTATTCTCCTACACGTTCATTGAAACTTGCGGCCACATAGAGGAGAGAGCCCTCTAAGGTCTTCTTCTGAAGGCAGGACTGCAAAATAAGATGATGTCAAAGCCATTCTACCAACTGTAGCTTTACACGTGCCTCAGTGGCAAGTGAAAGGAAAACAGAAAAATAGGCGGAAGGTTGTAGTCAGCTGTCAGAGACAAATCCAGGACAAGTGGTCTTTGTTGGTTCTGGTTCTCCTGGAAGATTTTCTCTTAGTCAGTTTATACAATCAATGATCCTGTGGTCCTAAGGTGGAAGCAAATAGCCAGCAATTGTTTTCACCAATTATCTTTGAAACTTTCTGTACTTGCACAACAGCACCATAAGGAGGAGGTGGCCTGTAATGCAAACACTCCTTCCAATGGAACTGTACTGTTAATTTACATTAGGACATCAAAAAAGCTGATTTTATTGTCAGGGCTATTCTTTATGCATTTGAATATGACATCCTTTTCAACTGCAGGTGTGCACTGAACAGACCTTTTCAATACCTTGATGTCCAGAACCCTTTTCTGAGTTAACATATCTGATTAAGAACCCTACAAAGTATTTAAAGATGTAGTGGAAAAGAGCCTGATTCACAGATGCTCTATGGATCTGTTGGCGCTGGGGAAAAGCTTCAAGAACCACTTGTTAGGTTTAATGATGATCTGATGTGGCAGATGACAATGGCTGTTTTACAGCTTCAGGGATCTTTGTTGATAGCTTTACAAATGGAGGAAACTAAGAAGTGAAATAATTTGTTCAAGGTCATCCAGGAGACTAGTGACAGAGCTATATTAAAACCTAGACAGCTTGCTTAACCTTTTCTTTTAATTCTCATTTCCTAGTTACTGCTCTGCACTAAATGTCTAAAATGTTCAGCTAGATAAGTATTTTAAAATGTTTTTCATTTTCTCAGGAAATAACCATTTTGTTCTGTACACAAAAAGTACTGAATATTCAGTGCTGAACAAGCAATTGATTAGAGGCCATACATCAGTGGCAAGGTGCCAAAATGCTGTGTATAGATTATTATCTTTATTAAAAGCTTATGTGTAATATTTGGAAAGCTGTTTCAATATTGAAAACTAATCATTGCTTAGTCTGTCTTGTGCTTTAGAGATTGAATATAAAACTTGTTGGCAGTAACAATGAAACTATAAAAAGTATCAAGTTGGAAAATTTTGTTCTTGTATTTTTAAGCAGAAATGTGGTTAAAAGTATCAGTACCCTTTTTTCTCTCCCAGAGAATTACACATTTCTTTCAATGTTTACTGCCTCAGTAGTTAGTAATCTTGTGATAGGCCCAAAAGATAATCCCCAAATGGCTGGGACAAATGCTATATGAAGAGCAAACTTTCTGTTTTAAAATGACTGTCATTTATGGGCAAACATTGCTCATCATGAATGGTTTTAATATGAACACTATTGTCATAGTGCAGAAAAACACTGGTTTGTGATACAAAAATGTAATGAAGTGAGCAGCAGGAGTTTCTTAGGATTTTTTTGTTGTTGTTTGGTTGGTTTGGTTTTTCCATTTACTAGAAGGTGGGAAACCGTTTCAATTAAAAATACACGTGTGATTGTTTTATGTAGGATAACTACCAAACAAATTTGCATGAATGCACTGCAGTCTTTCTTTTCAGTTTGTTCAGTGGTTCAGTTGTGCATAACTAATTAGTATTTCCTTACTCCAGTTGGACAAGAATTCTCATTTATCTTATTTGGTTGTAACACGTTGATTTAGTAAATGCAGTTTTTATTGTGTTCAGTGTAAGTTTTCTGTTAGCAAGTTTTCCAGTCTTAGAAGGTGTCATCTGATTTTAATAATGCATAAATGAGGGCGAGTGCTTTGCCAGAGCACTCTCCAGTCCTCTGGGATGATCTGGAGAAGGACAGTGTCCTTGCCAGCCTCCTGGCAAAACAGAGCATCCTGCCACCAGGATAAAGGATGGAGCCAGATATGGAATGGGGAGGGAAATCCAGGGCGTGGGCAAACGGGGAACTGCTACTGATTGAAGGGATCCCTTGGCAGGGGCTGAAGGTGAGACACTTTGGAGGCAAGGCCAGGCAAGGCCAGTGGTGTTGCAGAGGAGTAAGAAGTCTGCTTTTTAGAAGACTCTAAGCTCTTAAAACTGACCAAATGGCCAAATGTAGAGTGTAAGGAAAAGGTAATCTTGTC